ATACTATGTACTATGTCAAATATGCAGGAAAAATATTAATATAGGAAACTGAATAATAAAATATCTAATATACTGGGATCATCAGTTTTGTTTCTTTTTTCTACGGTCTTAACCCTCTGCTGCAGTAAGGAGCTCTAAATTAAAATTGTATTGATCCTATGCAAATGTTGCCTTTTCTTTCCAAAGTTCTAGGCAGAGGGAACCCTTGGATTTAAATATGATCAGAAACTGGACTTTACTTCAGTGGTGGGGCTTACTCAGCATTCATTCACCCTTTCTGTGCAATTTTCCTTTTGTTTTAATGCTGTTTATTCACCTTACTTGAGAGCAATGAGTTCCTGTCCTCTGGTTATGGGGAAGGCCAGACTTAACACTCACCAGTAGATGCACAAACTCAATAATATTTTATGAGTAACACTAGACACCATGGGAGGCTAAGCAAGCAGATGTTAAACTTTAGAAGAGTAGACAGCAAGGAACTGTGAGAGGCAGGTTTTGGAGCACTGAGAGGATGCGATGCCTCCTGGCTCCCCATAAGAGTATGCCACTGGCTTGCTGGAATGAATTTGTGAATTGCCAGGAACTGAAACCCACTACTCATAGCTAAGCAGAACTCTGGCTGGTACCTTCTATAAAGAGGCTTGGAAGACCTATGTCTGGGTCAGGATGGAGGAAAGAAGTTGAAGTTAGTTTGCTCACGGTACCCTGATTTCAGATGTCAAAGCAGCACACATATTTGGTCTTAATTTAGATCTTATACGGTACTTCCTTTCATGTGCACTGCGTGGACAATGTTAGGTCAGCCTTATGCAAACCCTAACATCAGATAAGGGCATGTGACCCTGGTTTAAAATGATCACAGCCCCTTCCCACAGACCTCAACTGAAGAATGAGAGTGTCACCTGATTCAGGACAACTAAAGTCAAGTTAACATATTCTTTAATGGTGCTTATGGAAAGAGATGTTCTTTTTTTATTTTTGGACTTATTTTATTATTTTTTTTTCTTAGTGAAAGCAGATATTTTAACATATATTATGGAACAAGCACTACACTGAATTATTTACATGTATTAATTCATTATACGATCACTCTGAAACGTAATAGCAAGCTAGATCTAGGACTTGTAGTCTTATCTACAATTCTGTAAAGGTTCTGTTGGAAAAGAGAAGTTGGTCCTAAAATCTGGGTTCACATAACTTGAGAATACTTCTTTTCTGACAATATCCTTTCTTTCTTTTTTTCATGTCCTCCTCCACTCCTCCTCCTCCTCCTCCTCCTCCTTCTTCTTCTTTATGGGGCTTTTGGCTACTCTAACATCCCCCTCTCTGAAGAGGTAACCCTAAAGTCTTTTAAAGATTAGGTAAAATCTCCCAAATACTTTCAATATTTTTGGCCTTTGGAATGGAGTAGGTTGCTAAGAGGCCCAAGGACATGGTAAGTTTTAGCCAAGAAACTGGTTACTTTTCTTTGGGGTCTTTTTTCCCTACCTGCTTAGTGAATTCCTACCTCCTATTCTTATCACACCATCCTCTGAAGAGGTTACCCAACTAGTGGATAGGGAATCAGGACACAGACTACTCTGGCTTCCTCCATGTTGAACTGGGATGCAGGGTGAGGCAACTGGAGTATCCCTTCAGTGGGTCTATCTAAAAGACTCCCAAATTGCATAATTCTTATCTGTAGGGGGAAAAGAAAGTCCTTGACTTGTAAATAAGATGTGAAGGAGAAGTAAAGGCAAGAGTAATTAGCATTATAAGTTCTATATAGGGAACTAGAAAAAAGTCAGAACAGGGAAACTTTCAAATGTTCATATGAGAGTGCATTGGAATTTCTTGACAGGGGCTTCCAAAAGCATCCTTCTATTGGATTCCTCTTCATTTGTCCTCCAAGGCTGGACTCTAGAGTGATGGATTCAGGATTTGCTTTCAGGTATTTTGATAGCTGTT